TACACAAATGCATATTCATTGAAACACTGGAATAGGGCATGGCTTTAATCCTCATTACTTTACCAGTGCTTAAAAAGTTAGGAATTTAACTAGCTATTTGATTTTAATACCCATAATAAACACCTTTTCAATTTTTGAAGTGTTCTACTTCCATTTCTGTAATCTGACTTTAAATGCTGTGTTGACTGTTGTGAAGAGTTTGGACTGCTTGATAACCCTCACCTTAGTGAATATTGTTTTTGCCAGATTGCGATTTGACAGAGAACACATAAGAAAAAGGACTGTTTCAGACCATAGAATTTTACTCTAACTCCACCCATGCACCAGGATACAAGAAAGCTTTGTGTTTCTACAGGTGAAGCCTACACGCACAAAGCTCTCTGGAATGATTATTATTTTTGCTTCAGTAATTACTGCAGCAAGAAAAAACATCCTTGTAACCTCCCTGCCCTCAAAGTTCAAAGAATATGCAGCCACATGTGATTCTTTTTCCTGTACACATTGATGCCATGCTTCAGGTTGAGACCTTAAGTGCACTAGAAGGTCTGCTTTCTCTTAAAAATAGTCAATACCATTAGCTTCATAGCTTCATCTGAAGCTGACTATCTTCAAGCAAGCATGAAATTATGTCTTCATGGTGTTTACAATATTGATAGTTTTTATGCAGGCTAAAATATTTGTATATACCATCTTTTTATTCTTCTTACACTTAAGGGCTAGGAATTTAAGCAAACAGATGCAAATTCCTCTTAAAGAGCTAAAATGCAATGTCTGAGGTTTTACTGTGTTGAAATCAAATGGTGGTTTTTTTTAAAAAAAAAAAAAACCAACCACCTTAACTCCTAATGCATATAAACTCTGAGTCTAAACGAATCATGAATATGATGCAATTTGATTGTTCTTTGAACATGGATATGCAGAAGAAAACACCAAGGAAGTATTCTGGGAAAAAATATTGTCTTTTGAAATTGCAGAAGATAGAAAATGGGAGAAAAACTTGGGAGGCATATGAGATTATTATTTTTTAGTTTATTGTTTGTTATATAGCATGCCTATAGATGATTGTGTGAATATTGTTGGATTTAGACGAGGGACCTCTGGATTCAGATGCTGCTTAGACCCAACATTTCTAGGACACAAAATGCACATACCTTGTACAGACAAGATACAATTTCTCTTCTGCAGTTCTCATCTTTCCACCTCCCAAAGTACAGAAGATCTTTATATAATACACACACACACACACACACACACACACACACACACACACATAAAATATTACTTTCTTAGATGAGGAAAAGGTGTGCAAACAATATTTATCCCATGGGATGGCAGAATAATGACAATAGCAGAAGACTTAACAAGGCTCTGGGCTATGTTACAATGCATCATATTGACAACTGTTCTCCTTGAACTGCACAGGTCACTGAAAGGACTGCATATAATGCACTATTCCAGTTTTCCATATGTGGAAGGCATTCATAGTGAAAACTCTACAGTGGAAAGCCACGCATTAAGAGAGACTCAAAGGCCAAGCAACTATCTTGTTGGCTTCAGCAAATCATTAAAAAAAAAACTGGGCTACCTAAGCAATGGATAC